AGGGACATTTTGCATCCTCAAAGTACAGACCACTTACGACACTGCAGATCTACACACTCCTGCGTGAGCAGCACAGGGAGGTGCGCCCTCGGCTAGCTATTCTCCGTACACTCGTGTTGCCTGGTCCCTCCTGCCCGTGAGCGACAGGGGCGGCTCGTCCTGCCCCCATGCTCTTACGTAGCCCTGAGACTCGCAGTCAGAGCTCGCCCACGTGAGGGAGAGATTTACTCCCAGCTCCTCTGAAGTTTCAGTACAACTGCAGAAACCTGTAGCTCTTAGGTGTGTCCTTTCTATATCCTTTGTCTTGTGCAAGCATGAGAAGCCTCTAAGGATGGGGGCCGCCCTCCAGGTGGGAAGTCCGGTCAGGGTTCTGGGGCTCACAGGCTAAAGGGAGGTCAAGAGAGGTGCCACTCAAAGAAACAAAGGTTTGCTCAAGGTTTGCTCCATGGAGTGGGAGGGGCCTGGCACACTGACGACCGGAGAGCTTAACTACGGGTGCCAAGAGGGGTCCCTTTTTATTTATGATGGTCCCTCTCCCCTCCACCTTCTTTGTTCAGGTTTTATTTTTTAACATTGATTTGAGAGAGAGAGAGAGACAGAGCCCAAGCAGGGGAGAGGCAGAGAGGGAGAGACACAGGATTTGAAGCAGGCTCCAGGCGCCGAGCTGTCAGCACAGAGCCTGATGCAGGGCTCAAACTCATGAGCCATGGGCTCATGACGAGCCGAAGTCAGATGCTCAACCAACTGAACCAGCCGAGCACCCCTCTGTTCAGTTTTAAGTCAATTCTCTTCTGGGCATTAACTTGGCTCTCCTATTTTGCAATGAAAAGGCAAGTCTGCAATGTACATGTTAACTTAGGCTTCTGCTTTATCGTTTTCATAAACTAGTCCCACAGCACCTCTCAACTAGAGGTGAAATCATTACAAAATGCTAGAAAAATGAGGATTTCTCAGTGAAGTCGAAAAATGCTCCTAAACAGCTTAATCTCCTTGTTCAAATTATATATTTTTTCAGAAATGAGCGTGCCAAATTTGGCATCGTGTTCCGGTACACTCACTCAGTAGTGCCAATCCTCCTTGACTTAAGTAGAACAGTCTATCACTCAGCGCCTTTCAGAGGTCAGCTCCGGGGGGCCTTCGCAACAGGGCAAGGCTTCAGCTGGCACAGGACACGGTGGCCCTGGGGAAGACACTCTTCACGTCATCGCCGTCCCACCGCATTGAGCCGAAGCGCACGCACTTGCGGATGCATCCTGGCAAAATGGTTTTAACGACACGGCTTGTGTGATGGAGTGAATGGTCACTACTCCGTAAGAAGCAGGAGTGTGGAACTGGAGCTGCACATCTATTCCTCACACCGTCCCCACACCCCTGCGTGGTCACCCACGGCCTCGCTTCCTGGGGCCGAACACATTCCAAAATCCACGACGCAGCGAGAGCAACTGGGTTTTCTGGACAGCCAGCCCCGAGCGGGCACCCTCATTCCTAGCACTCTGGGGAAGACCGCCTGCACCTCGTCTTCCACGTGCAGGGTAGTGGAGCTGCCCACCGGCACCCACAGGACAGTGCACCCCCCGAACTTCTTTTGGGTCAGGAGCCTGCTGTGTCACCGACACTTCGGGAGAGGTTCTGTTGGCGCTGCAGTAACAGTAATTAAAACACACAGAAGCGTTCTACGTGCTAACGCTTTAGAATTTATAAACTGCTCTTCCTAGTTTAAGACTTTAACACTACATTCTGATAAATCTCGCCTCTGGCCGCATGCAGAACCCGTTTCTCACTCTCATCTGTAAGTCAGTACAGGGAGGACACGTCACGGGAGGACACCACGTCATGTAACAAAGGTTCCCTCCAGCAGGTGAAAACTAATGACAAAGAATATTCGCAGAGCAAGGACTCCAACTATGAAAGACAAAATATGTGTATTTACTTGCTTAGATCTGGGAACCTAACTGCTCACAAAAGGGTTCAGAGATGTTTCTTTATTGTTAAGCTGCAACATACATGGTTTAATACAACAAAAAAGCATTTAATCAAATGGAAAAGAAACTGAACAATAAACAAATAAACACTCAAAACAAAATATTTTCCATTGGAAACATGTTAAGATGAATACGGGGCTTCGTTACCATCTTACTGCAATTTTTTTATGTGTTACTAGCCTACATACCCCATGTTTTCTGTACTCATGCAGGTGTGAATGGGAGTTTGAATGATTACATACACGAAAAGTCCGTTTACTGCAGAGAATCATTTCACAAGGCAGCCAAACCGGGTTTAGAGAACAAAATTATTCAAGAAATTCTCCACGTATTTAGGTTCATTTTAGAATCCATGAACCTTAAGCTGTTCCTCCTTGACAATGCCAACCTGCAAAACAAAATTCAGCAGCATCACTCAGGAATGCAGGATTTCCGCCCCAAGAAAACATGGGGCAGTGATTATAAAGACAGCCAGTGTTCAGAGTCTGTTCCAACACTGTCCTTGCAATGTTTACTGTGAACAGTTCAACAGCCACGTAAACTCCGCCACATGCTCAAAAGCCGGCGCGCAGATACAAGAGTGATCAGGTCACTCAAATGACAAAATGAACCAAAAAAGGTTCTGCTGCCGTTAAAATAAGTACCAACTTTGTACTTCTTTCTCAATTACCCAATTCACCTCATTCACGTGACTTCCCCACCCCAGGTAAGAGATAATTCATGTTCTCGAATGCCATTCTGGAAGCAACCTCAAGGTTGTAAGTAAAGCAGCCAGCACTCACCTCCAAGAGAAACTGGCAGATGTTTTTCCTTTGGTCACCTTGGAGCTGAATGACCTCCCCGTACTCAGGGTGTTCGATCACAGTACCATTGCAGGCGAATTTCTGCAGAAGGAGACACGCCACGCGATGGAGTCAGGGACGCTGAGGGTTCATTTTCACCACAAGGCTAACGCTACTCCAGTAGACCGGCCCTGCGGCCCTGCTAGTGTTCGGGAGCCAGGTCCTGTCTCTCATCATCCCCAACACTCCTGAGTAATTTGCAAGTGAATCAGAGGGAAACAAATGAAGGGATTTCACTTGGAACATCAGGACCTGAATTATCTCACATTTTGTGTGAAAAGCACTCACATCTCATTGTAACACCGGAGGCCACGCATAAGTAGCCGGGTGTTAATTAGGAGAAAGGAGGAGAACCGGTCACTGTCACCCGCACTGTGGGACTCGGGTGAGGGTGTCCCCTTAGCACGGCCGGGACTGCGGTTTCGCCTTTCCTTCCTTTCCAGCGCCCTTACCTTTTTGAAAGCCTTCACAAGTTTCTTCTTGTCATAGTCGTCTGCGATGCCCTGGACAGTGGTCAGCGTCTTCCTGCCGTTCCGCTGCTGGATTCTTATATGGATGTAATCCTCGGTCCCTGCCGGGAGTAAGTCGTCGCCCTTAGTTGCATCAGCAAAGGGGTCTGCGAAGGGACACACAAAGTTCCAAAGGGGAAGAATTACCTTTCAGCAAGGCGTTTCCAGGTGTGTGGCCCACAGCAAGCTATGCAGTAGGCACAGAAGGTTCTGGTGCGGGCGTCACGGGCCGGGGCAGGGAGAGCCTCCAGGCAGGCCGCTCCCGCGGGAAGGGAAACATCTAACCCGCCGCGGCCCAGGCGTGCGGAACCGAAGACGCTGTTCCGGGCGGACCTTCGTTAGCGCGGTCCCCGACCCTATCGCGACGACAGTCTTGTGTCACCCCGACAGCGCGGCCCCTCCGCCGCGGCCCGCGACACCCCGACAACGCGGCCCCTCCGCCGCGGTCCCGCGACACCCCGCCGACGACGGGGACCCTCCGCCGCGGCCCCCGACACCCCGACAACGCGGCCCCTCCGCCGCGGTCCCGCGACACCCGGACAACGCGGCCCCTCCGCCGCGGTCCCGCGACATCCCGCCGACAACGGGGACCCTCCGCCGCGGCCGCCGACACCCCGACAACGCAGCCCCGCGACACCCCGCCGACGACGAGGACCCTCCGCCGCGGCCCCGCGACACCCCGACAACGCGGCCCCTCCGCCGCGGCCCCGCGACACCCCGACAACGCGGCCCCTCCGCCGCGGCCCCGCGACACCGTGACGACGACGACGGGGACCCTCCGCCGCGGCCCCGCGACACCCCGCCGACGACGGGGACCCTCCGCCGCGGCCCCGCGACACCGTGACGACGACGCGGCCCCTGGTCTCTGACCGCGGCCCGTCCTCGAGAAGCGAGACGAGAAACACCCGTATCTGCGCACAAGCACGTTCACCGATCGACCCGGGGCGTCGTTTCGCAGGCGAGCGCCCGGGGCCGCCGACCCGCAGCCCCCGCCGCGGGAAGGGCTCGCAGAGGCGGCGGCGGGCCCGGGGCTCCGCGGGGAGGGGTCGCCAGGGGCCCAGTCGCCATTTTCTGGGCGCCGAGACAAAGCCCCAGTCGGGGGGCGGGGAGCGCGACGGGGGCCGGGAGGGGGCGGGGTGCGGGGCGGCGGCGGCCCCGGCGAGCGCGGGCAGGGGCCGCGGGCCTTACCGAAAGATTGGAGGTTCTGGATAGTGGACATGCGATACTAGTGTGAGGCCGCTGAGGGGACAAAATTCCTGCGGGGCCCGCCCGGATCACCGTGTCTGGAGGCTGCAGGGGCGAGAACACGTAAATCAATCAGAGGACGCTTCGCCCCGGGGCTGCGATTCGGCGGGCGCGGCGGCGGCGGCGGAAGCCGGGACGAGGCAGGAAGAGGCGAAGGAGGAGGCGGAGGAAGAGGCGGCGGCCGCGGAGGCGAGGACGCGAGCGAAGAGGCGGCGCTGGGACTTCTCCCACAAGATGGCCGACGGAGGCTATTTAGCCGCGCCCGCCGCCCCTCCCCCGTGACCCGCCCGCGCCGGGCATCCTGGGACTTGTAGTTCTCTCGAGGCGGCCGAGCCCGTGCAGCTCGCCGCCGGCGGGCTTCCGGGACCGCAATTCCCGGCAGGGAGCACGGCCTGCGGCGCCGGCGGCCCGGCCCGGGGGGTACGGGCACCTCGGCGCCGTCGGGGCAGAGCCGTCGGGTTGCGGGGCCCTGTGAGCCGCGAGCCGTCGCTTGCTTTCCGGGACTCCTGCGGCGCGGAGGGGTCGGTGCCGGGTGCACAGTCTCCGTCAGTCACCGTCGAGGCGCGGGGGTCGTGTGAGTGAAATCGGGATGCGGGCACAAAACAGGCACCCGGCCCTGGTTGGGACTCGTCGGCCGCCGCTCGGCACCTCTGGCGTCGCAGTTCCTGCCCCGGACCCGGCCCTGGTCCGCGGCTGCGGGCGCCGCCTCGTTCCTGTGAGCTTGCGGGCGACCGAGCTCCGCCGCCCTCCCCACCCCCGACCCGACCCGGGTGGGGCGGCCCTCGCGTTCCCCGGCGGCTCTCCGAGTCCAGCGTGCGTCTCCCGGGCGGGGGGGGGGGGTGTGTAACACGGACCGGAGGACTCGGCGTTCCTTTCGGGGCCGCGGCGACCCCCAGTCAGCCAGCGGGGGGCGGCCAGGAGACGCTGACGCCGCGGTCCCGGACCGTCCCGCACACTCGCCGCCCCGCACACTCACCTCCCTCACACTCCCCGCCCCGCATACTCGCCGCTCCGCAAACGCACCTCCCTCACACCACCCCGGCCCTGGTCCCGGGCCGCCCCGCACACTCACCTCCCTCACACTCACCACCCCAGCCCTGCTCCAGGACCGCCCCTCACACTCACCTCCCTCACACTCACCACCCCGGCCCTGGTCCCGGACCGCCCCGCACACTCACCGCCCCGGCCCTGGTCCAGGACCACCCCACACACTCACCGCCTGGCCCTGGTCCCGGATCTCCCCGCACACTCACCTCCCTCACACTCACCACCCGGCCCTGGTCCCGGACCGCCCCGCACACTC